TTCGTTGCTTATTTTTGTTTTCCATAAGCTTGCCGCTCTACTTTGTCCTCTTCTTCATCTTTTAGGGTGTGCGGGTATAAATTTTCTCAATTTATTTTGATCGAATTATCGTTGCTGTTTATGGCACCACTTCTATTCATTATCTGTGTATCATGTGCCTTATTGTCGATTTTAGTATACCCTTCTTTTAGTAGCTCTACCTTTAAAGTGTGTGGATTTTCAGAAATTACAAATTGACTCCCACCTCTGGGGCATTACCGGTTTGAGGAACAAAATTAAAAACTATATATAATATACGGAACAAAACTGTAATTATCCCAAGTTTTATTATAAATAATATAATAAATTAACGTTTTCTTAAATTGTAAATCGTAAAATTTGATCTGTTTGTTGATATTTAAGATTTGTTTTATCATTTGAATCGACTTAGGTATGAATGAATTGAATCCTAAGATTTGAATCGTAAATCATAAGATTTTAAGCTCGGTATTGCGAATTTTCGGAAACGAGTCACACGCAATTACATCTGAGAAACACAATTACAGCTGAGGAACGCAATTACAGCTGAGGAGGAGTTGAAGCATGCTGCGTTGGTGGCGGCTATTTCGAATATTGCAAGAGTAAGTATAGGGTAAAATTTACTTTTGGGTCAAATTTGCAATTTAGGTGGAGCATCTATGAAGATAGAGTAAGTATAGGGGTGATTCTGCAATTTTCAGAACTGTTTCAGCAAGGGAGGTGGATTTCCAGAAATTACTAATTGACCCCCACTTGGGGGCATTTCCGGTTTAAGGGCCAACATTAAAAATGGTATATAATATAGGGACCAAAACTGTAATCATCACAAGTTTATTATAAAAATTATAATAAATTAAAGATTTCTTAAATTGTAAATAGTAAAATTTGATCGCTTTGTTGCTAATGAAGATTTATTTTAGCATTTGAATCGACTTAGGTATGAATGAAATGAATCATATGATTTGAAGCTTAAATCATAAGATTTTATGCTCCGTATTGCGAATTTTCTTAAATGAGTCAAACGTGCTTACAGCCGAGGAGAAGTCGAAGCAACATTTGATCTATTTGTTGCTATTGAACTAAAAATCTTTTGATTTAGGATTCAAATCATACATTCAATTCATGCATTCATACCTACGTCGATTCAAATGTTCAAATAAATCCTAAATATCAACAAATCGATCAAATTTTACGATTTACGATTTAAGAAAACTTTAATTTATTATATTATTTATAATAAACTTGGGATAAATCAGTATCATCCATCTCAACAATGCGTCCCGCAATGATCATGTACGAACATTCTATCCTTTATATATCATATACAATACTAGCTTGTATAACATCAGCTCTATATCATTAATAAATATAATTTTTGGTCATTTACCTCTTTACATATCAGTATTATCTCTTATTTCATAGCCCTTCTTGATCAGGATATGGGGGCAACTTTGGCGTAGCATATCATCAACCCCTTCAAACTCATGCCAGTATAAACAAAACACATTTTGCAAATATATAAACAGGGCACCAGCACCGTGCAATGTAGCATATCATCAACCCCTTCAAACTCATGCCAGTATAAACAAAACACATTTTGCAAATATATAAACAGGGCACCGGCACGCGCATTGCACGATGCTCCTCAACTAGTATATATATATATATATATATATATATATATATATATATATATATATATATATATATATATATATATATATATATATATATATATATATATATATATATATATATATATATATATATATATATATATATATATATATATATATATATATATATATATATATATATATATATTTTTATTTTTTTATATATTCACTCTCTCTCTCACTCTCTCTCTCTCTCTCACTCTCTCTCTCTCACTCTCTCACTCTCTCTCTCTCTCTCACTCACACTCACACACTCTCTTATACTTTCCCAAAAACACCCCCCATTTTTTTAAAAATAAATATCAATAAAAAAAAATAAATATATATAAATAAAAAATCAATATATATATATATATATATATATATATATATATATATATATATATATATATATATATATATATATATATATATATATATATATATATATATATATATATATATATATATATATATATATATATATATATATATATATATATATATATTACAATACAAAATCAAGCAAGCAACATAGAGCTTAATTAATCCCAAAAATTTAAAAAAACAAAAATCTCAAGATTTCAATTCTGCAAACCTCTGTCTCACAACAGAAGCGAGCCCCGTTTCTCCAACTCCAACCAAACCCTCGAAAACCCTCCGCCTCACCCTTATGTACGGTATGGACCCTTTGTCAGTCATTTTAATCACAAACTTTCCCGCCAAAACGAACCTCTGAACCTCCAAGCAACCCTCGAGAGCCAACTCATACACATCAAATCCAACATCCACACCCTTACCGTCCAAGAACTCAATCATCTCAACGGCCCTCGTTATTTCCCGATTCGCCCTCATAGCATCCACTGCTTTCACAACTGTCTCCTTTCTCGGACTCAGAAAGTGAACGTCCACCATCTCCACAACCCCACGGATCATTCTCAGCTCGCTCATCCTACTAATCAAAATACCAAAACTATCTCTATCCGGAACACAACCCACTTTCCCCATCCCACGCAAGACACCAAGAGCTTCTTCGAGGCGATCGACTTTGGAGAGAGAGAGAATGAGGTAGTTGCAGGTACCACAATCCGGAGAATATCCGATGGAGCGCATTTCCGGTAGGAGGGTTTGAACGGTGTCTTGATATTTGTGTAGGGATAGGGTCCACGCATTGGAGAGGAGGAGGTGAGTTTGTGGGACCGGTAGACAGCCGGAGCGGAGGGTGCGTTGGATGACGGCGAGGGCGAGAGGGAGAGGATTTTGGGTGTTGAGAATGTACGATAGGAGGTGGGAGTAGGCGGAATTGGGGCGGGAGCGGGGGCGGATGGAGATGAAGGACTGAAGAATTTCGTCTATGACGAGGGATTTATGGATTGGGGAGAGTGTGGAGAGAGATGAAAATGGATTTGGATTTCGAGATGAGGAATTATTGAGGAGGAGGTCGGGTATTTTGTGGTATGTTTTAGATTCGATTGCTGAGAGTATGGATTCTTGAAGGGATTCTTGTGAGGATGATGAGGAATAGTGGAGAAATGCACGAGTCAATGGACGGAAGAGTGAGCAAAAGTTTGCATGGGCTAACGACATTTCTTTTATCGGGAAAGAAGGCAGAAAAACTAATAGGAAATTTTCAATGAGGCATATTGTCGAACAGGTGAGTTGCACTAGAAAAATGTATGTTTGGAAGGAATACTGAACAAATCAAAGATTCAGCACGAATACGAGTTGGACGAGAACGTAAAATAACCAGGCGACGTTGCTTTCATTAAGCTCGAGTGGGTCATCGCCCCGGGTCGGGGAAAAGTGGGACGGATTCGGGTTGTTTAGACCATCTCCAATGGAGATGGGTAGGGGTTGGGGTAGGGAGATAAAATTACCTCCAATGGAGGTGGGTCAAGGGAGTGTGGGTCTGGGGTGGGTAGGGGTGGGGAGAGGGGGGAGGGAGAGAACCCTTGAGCTGCCCCCTCCAACTCACGTGCTGGAAGGGGGCGTGTGTTCCACGCTCTTATCTTTTTTTTTTTTTTTTTTTCTTGTTTTTTTTCCTTTTTTATTTGTATATGTTAGTTTTTTTTTGTTTTCTTTTCCTTTTTCTTTTCTCTTTTTTGTGTGTTAATTTTATATTTTTTTTATTTTCCTTTTTTTGTGTATTTATTTTTTAAATTATATCGTTATTTTATTTTATTTCAATTATTTAGTTACATAATTTAATATCACATAATTTCAATAAAATCAAACACTTAATTTGTAAATAAAGACTTTTAATATTTTTGTTTTCATTTCTTTTTCTTTTATTTTATTATTTCCTTTTGAATTATATATTTATTCGTAATTTGTATTATTATTATTATTATTTTATTTTATTATATTATTTCCTTTTGAATTATGTTATTTTATTTTGTAATATATTTTTTTATAATTGTAAAAATTAGAAAAAACAACAAATACGATTATTTTACTTTTTATTATAAATTTGAAATAACAACATAATTTTAATAAAACCAAACACTTAATTCGTAAATAAAAACTTAAGTAAAATTATTACATATTTCCATTGTGTCTTGCCCACACATGAGCTATTAAATCACTTTTTCTTCAATTATTGAATTAGTTGAAGATTATTTCTTTACTTTTATTTGAATATTGTATTATCATAATTAAATTATTATTATTATTATTATTATTATTATTATTATTATTATTATTATTATTATTAGTATTAGTACTAATTATTATTAATTATTAGTTATTAATATTAATATTAATAATAATAATAATATTATTATTATTATTGTTATTGTGGTTGTTATTATTATTTTATTATTATTATAGTGGTGAGAGTGGGGATTGAAAAAAAAGTAATAAAAGACCGAACGGTTGGAAACGACGTAGATAGAGGGGGAGGGGGAGGAGAGGGGGAGGGAAAAAACCCCCTCTCCATTGGAGATGCACTTAATGGGTCAAAGGAAGCGGGGAGTTGAGGAAGAAGGGAGGTTGCTGATGGTTCTAGGTGAGGGTTCTCCTGCGGCAGATTTTTTTTTTGACCGATTTCAGAAGTTTGATGAAGTCGGATGAGAGAGGAGGGTAAAATTGGTGGGCAATTCAACTTTCAGGGCAAATATGTCATTTTACGTCAAAATTCTGTTCACCAGTCGCAGCACCGCGAGTGGGCCACACGAAGGGGCACCAAGGGGGAATACGCCTTTAACTTAAATTCATAGGGGGGGTTTTTGCTAGTATTTATTTTCACAGGGGAGTTTTTTGCACTTTACTCATTATTTCATATGATCCAAAAATAACTTCTGAAAACCTAGAAAATCAGAAGGTATCCATTCAATCCTCGACCGAATCTGGGTGAGCCCCTCTTCATCGTACCAAGTTAGATAGAATTACGAGCAATTTTGACCTAATTTTCACTCTGCACCAATACAAATCTTCTGAATTTCTCCATTGTTTTCCCGATCCCTCTGTATGGAGAAGATTTTAAGCAAGGTAAAACAGATCGAACCTTTTAGCTGCTTTGATTTCAAGGGGTTTTGCTGTGCTAGTTTAGAATTAAATTGCTCTTGGTATTATCCCTCTGTATTTATTCTTTATAAACATCCAATCTTTTAGCTGCTTTGATTATATCTTGAAAAGGGGTTGCTAATTTATAATTAACTCGCTCTTGGTATTACCCCTCTCTATTTATTTATTTAATTCAGTTTACACAAGAAGATTCGATCGATCGCCTGCCCGATGAACTGCTAATTTCGATTGTTTCACGCTTGCCGGTGATAGAAGCAGAAAGGACTAACCTCCTTTCTCGCAGATGGAGATACTTTTCGATGTTTAGCTCGATTCTTGACTTTGATGCTTCGAGAGTGCTCTTCAAATTGGATCAAGAAAGGACATCCCTTAAAGCCGAAAGGAGAAAATTTGTGAGATGGGTGAACAGAGTAGTCAGCCTACATTCTGGCGAAGCCATAGAAGAGTTTCGAATATCGTTCGATTTAGATAAGAGTGATGCCAATGATATATGTAAATGGTTAAAATTCGCATTTGAAAAGAAGGTTAAAAGGCTAGAATTGAATTTGATTCAAAGTTATACTGGTTTATCAGATGCGCAATATACTTTCCCAAACATGTACGATAGCGTCGAGTGCTCGCGTATTTTACCTCTCGGCATTTCAAGTTGCGAATCGCTAGTGAAACTCAGTCTGATTGAAGTTGAGGTAACTGAAGAGACTCTCAACTTCTTCGTATCCAATTGTCCGTTACTTGAAGAATTATGTATTATATATTCAAGCTACCTGAAGAAATTGACATTTAATTTCCCGTTGATTCGGCTGAGGCGTTTGGAAATAGCCTCCACAGGTGCTTGTAAAAGCGTCGAGATTTGCGCACCGAATCTGCGTTCGTTTGCATTCTATGGGTTTTATAGGATTCCCATTGCCTTGAAGAATGTTTCGTCTCTTATTAGTTTATCCTTTGGGGCAATGAGTCCTGTGATATTAATTGATTATATGAACCAATTATCGGGTTGTCTTTCTCTGCTCGAGTCTCTGACGCTTCACACATCTATATTTCAGGTTAGTATTATATCCTTTTTCTTTTTCTTTTTCTTAATACAGTTTAATAACTTGTCTTTTTGGTCTGAAATTGTTGAAATTAAACTTATTGTTTCAGGATTATGTACTGGCAAAATGTCCAGATTTACCTAAGCTCAAGAAATTAGTACTCGATATTATGCGCCCAAGTGGATATGAAAGTCTACTGTGTTTTACTCCCCTAATGAGTGTTGCACCTTCATTACGTGAGCTTGTATTGAAGGTGAGTTGAGTTTTCGAATCGAACGAAAAAACTGAAAAAATTATAATTTATTTAATTTTTTATTTTTTTTGGTGACAGCTCCAATGGTCTGAAAACTTTATGCGAAGAACGATTCATACTGTTAAAGCACAGAATAGACATCTTGGTGTAGAAGTGCTTCAGATAGAAGGTTTTGCAGGCGGTGATATTGATGTTGAACTGGCTGAGTATGTGATTGAGAATGCGCCTTCACTCAAGAAAATAGTTATTGATTTTCGTCGAATTAAACCTAATGTTTTTCGCAAGTACGAGAATGTAATGGCTAAACAAGGTGAAGCAGACATTGTGGATAGCGATCGGATGGCAATAGCTAGAGAAGGTGCTGCTTTGCTAAAAGCAAAACTCGCTGCAGGTGTTGAACTTATTATTCGATGATAAAGTAACATATTTATATTAGGACATGGTTCGAGTTTTTTTTTTTTTTTTTTTTTTTTTTAAGATACTTATGTTATTGATATATATATATATATATATATATATATATATATATATATATATATATTAGAAAATTAGAAAATCCTGGTTGCTGATAAAATACAATTCTATCTGAAACCATCTTTGCAGTTTTTCTCAAATCAGTTGGAAAATTGTAGAAATTACTGTGATTTAGTTTCTCAATTTCCTAAAACTAATCATAGGAAAACTTAGTCACATAATCGAGCTTAAGATAAAAATTGCAACATCAAATTCTTATGTAACAGCAGTAAGACTCAGTCCAAGTATCAAATATGTCTCTTCTCAATATTAACAAATATATATGTACACACTCTTTAAAATTCACCATATTTACCAACACTGTATCAAATTGCACGGAAACTACTACTACAAATTGAGAAAGGATATTCTTACTACTATATTCGACATTATACGAGACTCTCAACTGGTGACACATCAGCAATCACAAAATTGAAATGCCAGTGTCAAGTGATGTTCTGTTTTATTCTTTTTCTATATCAAATGCAGCAATCTGGATTGAAGTAAACGAATGCAAGCCAAAAAAGATGTCCCTAAAAAAATAATTTCCCTGCAAAACCAATCACCATATTATTTCTAGGTATTGATTTTAAACAAGTACCAAGACAAAATGCAGTTTCGACTCTTACCTGAGAAAGGAAGAGATCCACCAACTAAATTTTGTCACATTTGACGACCTAAACAATCAAGGAAAGAGATTAAAGTCCTACCATTTTATGAAAATAAAATAAAAATTACTTGATCAACGGAATAATCGCACATACCACAGAAAAACCAAACTTGTAGAGTCCAAAACCAGCAAGAGCAACAAAACGAATGACTGAAATTGGACATACAAACATATACCATTTGTAAAGAATGAATGAGTAATACAGACCGAGTACAGCATGAGCATAACGACTACAAACAAACACGATCAACTTTCATTTCGAAATATTATGATTTTATTTCAGAATGGATAAACTCAGCCTTTCGAGTAAGAATTTCTGATTTAAAAAAAAAAAAAAACAATAATTAAAATAAGGTAAGTTTCCACAACGTGAGAATAAACCAACTCCAATCATTTTGTACTCCACCATATCAATCTTCAACAAGTTGGCTTTCTTAGACTCAAAATGACTCAATAATTAAGGTGGACCTCAACCTGTTTATCCTGCAACACCACATGCAGGGAATATCTATAAGCTATGGATCAAGTAGGTATAAGGAGTAAGGAACGAGTGATGTCTTTTTTTTTTTTTTTTTTTTTTTTTTTGTTTCTTTTAGACACTAAGGAACGAGTGATGTCTATAAAACCAGGATTCAAAATTTACGACTCACTACGGGAAACATGCGATCAACAGAGCTGCACATAACACGATGGCAACTCTGTTCTCTTCATCATCATTTGCCTATAACAATCAAAAGGATAAGTAAACACACATATATGCACGAGTACCCTACTCATAAATGTTGTACTTCAATTCTGACGTACACACGAAAATTCAAATTTAAATAATATATTTAAATCAGGTTTTACCTCTAACATGATACGGATAATTCTTTTAATTCGCAATATCATTCTGGAAGAGAATTTCATGTCAAAGTGTCGCAAGCAAAATGCTAACGCAGCTGCTGCGAGACACTAAACAAAACACACAAAGAAGAAAATATACGAGAGTAAGATATAAATAAAACACGTGGTTGGATGGCATGAAACAGTAAAACTACAGTACATTACCTTTTTCTCAGAAGGAATATCTTCCCTCCAAAACAAGCTAGACGAGGTAGCTGCTTCCATAAAGAGCGAAATTTGTTTCTCAGACAGCGTGTCACAGAGAGCAGGTAGGAAGATAAAAGCCCGTTCGTCGTCAGATTTCAACATCTCTACGAAACCTTTGTGATGTTCTCTATTAAAAAGCGGTTTCATAAACCTAAATAGTCTAACTCGGTGTGCATAACTTAGATTTGCATGTATATCTAGTACATATACACTTATTTTATCATGTGGTCTAATAATTGCCAATGCGGCTATTTCTTCAAAAGGAGTCCATTGTTGATTATTTTCCAAGGAAATCCCGATGAATCTTGATACAATTGCCTGCCCGAACTCCTTAACAAACACGCAGTCGTCATTTGCTTGTAGAATACTCATGGTCTTCTCCTTAAACCTATTCAAATGGTTTCCACCTATCATCAAGTCATGCTCGTTTATCACGTCTTCTAAGTGATATTGAACCAGTTCAGATGCATAGATCTTGACAACGTTCGTTGAACCAGAATCAACAACATCTAATAATTTTGAGAGAAACTGGAGCGGGTAAATCTGGATGAGAAGTTTGTATAGAGGAGTCGATTTACTTGTGTCATCCTCTGCGAGAATTATTACAAATTCCTTCCCATTGACTCTCCATTGCAAATACTTGTTTCTTGCTGTTTAAAAAGAGAACTTAAATTAATTGTGATCATTGCTTGTTACTCGATGAAACCAATTCCGAATTAAAAAAAAATATCCGAAACATAGAAAGTCAATCCATATTGAACCAAAAAGCATAGTTACTATAACACAATAATTAAACACGATTATGAGATTAGCAACAACTTTTCGACAGCAATCCTCCCCAAATCGAAACGAAATCTTTAGTTAAGTCAGTTATACACATTTGGCCTATTCTTGTCACTCTATCCAGAAAACTACTCGAAAAATGAAATTGTCAAATCAGAAAAGTTGTATCCAGCTACAGAATCTCAGAAAGAACCTAACAATAAACAACGAATAAATATTATACTCAAAAACTCATCGGTGGAAAACTCCCGCACAAATTATAAATCGTTCATATTAAAAATAATAATAATAATAAAAAAAAAAAAAATCTTCTTCCCGCAAACATATCCATCCCCATATATTCTATAAACCAATTAAATTATTGATTATGCCAACATATTCTAATGATCCACCATGATGATGCCGCATTTGAAGAAGTTCATAAACCAACAATCCAAACCAAGTTTTGTTTGAAGATTACACAAGTTCTCATATGGCCTCAAACACGCCCCACGAACGTGGTTTAGATGGCTTTCTCAACAACTCATTGAACTTGGGTTTTCTGAGTCTAAGTCTAAAGTTGACTATTCTATATTTAAGTTGAACGCTGATGGCCATAAAAAAATTGTCCTTGCCTATGTTGATGACATATTAGTAAATGGTTCAAATACTTTCGTTATTACTAATATCATTCAACAGTTACAGTTTATGCATAAGGGCATATAAAATTGATGAGAACAGAGAGAAGCACAAACACACAAAATTTCATGATTTCTAAGCAGAGCACATATATAAAAAGAGTTTACAAACTTCGAGACAAAACACGGAGAATTAATAACTAATAAGCATACATACATATAATTGGTAAAATTCACTTTCGTTTACAAAACACCACAGACTACCGATTACATATTTCAAAAGATGGTAATCCTACATACTATTACACATATTGTTCTTTAATAATTCTCACCGATCGGAGGAAGCGATCGATAGTAGATACCTAAAACCGTATCAAAATTTTTTACAAGCATATTATACAAATAGAACCACATAGCTAGGGTGAGAGCCAACACAATCCACGTCCTCTCCATATGAACTCTTCACGAATCTCAAGCTCGATTCCAACTTCACTCCTCGGGCTCCAAATCGGGTATACCTAAAAAAATACAACACCTATATGAGTCTTTGAGGACTCAATGAGAAACTTGAAGTATTATCGAGTACACATAACACATAGAGCATATATATATTCTTATTATACATATACATTACATACAACATAATTAAATCAATCATATACCTTCTTTTTCGTTTCGTCGGAATTCTTCTTCGTTGTTCCTTTTTCAAAAGCATAGAGTGAGATAAATTCCCACTTTTATAACACTATGATCGGAGACCATAGATTGAAAATGTCCCACCTTTATATCCCTATGACTTCACATTCGTATTGAAGAGTATAGAGTGATGTCTCACTTTTACAACCCTACGATCAAAAGACCATAGAGTGAGATGGTCTCACTTTTATAACCCTATATCTTCAATACCATAATGAGACATGCATGACATGACATGAAACGATTATTCTAATTTCTAATTTAATAAATTTGGACATAGACAGGGGCAGAACCAGGATGAAAATGTAGGGGGGCTAACTAAAATTTTGGGGTTCGGGGCAGCGCCCCGAAAAAAAATTTAGGTTCACAAAACATTGTAAAAATAAGTTTATATTACTAATTTTTAATTAAAATATCATATATATTATAATTATATCATATTTTAATCATCACACAAAATTCTAAACTAATTTAAATTATTCTAATAATGTATTGCACTTAATATTTCAGGGATTCATGGCACGATCTCAAGGCATTGATAAAAAAAATTCAAAAATAAGTAATATTCATAAATTTTATGTAAAATAATACAAGTTTTAAGCATCTTATTTTATATTTTATATTAAATATGATATATCTATCTATAATTTATATAAGATTATGAAAAAGAAACAAAAAAAATAATGGATTAAGACACATATTTACAAAAACTTTGGGGGGGCCAAAAGTAATATTCAAAAAATACAATACCAAATACCTAATTTTTTTTTTTCTTGGGGGGTCAACAACC